GGTGCCAGTGGTTCACACCTGTAATCCTAGCTACTCAGAAGGCTGAGATCTGAGGATCACGGTTCAAAGCCAGCCCAGGCAGGAAACTCTGTCAGACTCTCATCTCCAATAAATTACCAAAAAAGCCAAAAGTGGGGCTGGGAAGGTGGCTCAGTGGTAAAGCGCTTGCCTTGCATGCCTGAGGCCCTGGGTTCAATTCCCCAGCACCACATAAGCAAAAAAAAAAAAAAAAAAAAGTTGGAAATGGAGCTATGGCTCAAGTGGTAGAGTGCTAGCCTTGAGCTGAAGAGTTGAGGGACAGCACCCAGGCCCAGAGTTCAGGCCCCACGACCAGACCCCCCCCCCCAAAAAAAAGCCAAAAGTGACACGGTGGCTCAAGACTTAGAGCACTAGCCTTGAGGATAAAGATGCTCAGGGACAGCACCCAAGCCCTGAGTTTAAGCCCCAAGACTGGCAAAAAAAAAAAAAAGTAGCAGCCAAAATCTGTAGACAACTTTAAATTACCCTGGTCTGAAAGGATTATGTTTGAGAATTTGGGGGATTATGAAGTGATTATTACCTTAATTATTCAAAAGGCTCATTTTGGTTAAAGTGTTAATTACTAGTGTGGATTTAAACACTAATATTCTAGGCAGCACAGGGCTAGTTTTTCTAGTTGAGTGGACACGATAGGAATGAAGTGGGCAAGTACAGCACTGTGTTAGAGTGGAGGTGCTGGGCGTCTTAGAGATTTTCTGTAATCATTTTGATCTCTAAATTATAAATGTAGACTAATAGGAAATTATCAGCAGGTTAACCTTGCCGGTTAATTAGAAAGCTACCTGCTCTGAAATGTCTTCAACAGACACTGCTGGCCTTTTACTGAAATATATTCAAATTACAAACTACATTTTGTAAGACATGCTGGAAAATGTCAATTCATATAATACCCAAGTGAAAAAATATTTTAATTTTTAAAATAAAAATCTTACCTCACTGAACATGATTTGTTCTAGTTCCATCCATTTCCCTACAAATGAATTATTTTATTCTTTCTAATGGTTCTGTGTATAGGTACCACATTTTTTTGGATCCGCTCATCGATTGTGGGACCTCTAGGCTGTTTCTCGGTCTTGGCTATTGTGAATAGTGCAGCAATGAACATGGATGTGCAGGTGTCCTTATTATATCCTAGCTCTTGATGCTCAGGATAGATACCCAGGAGTAGTATAGCTGGCTTATAGGGAAGGTCTGTGTTTATTTTTTTGAGAAACCTCCAGACTGCTCTCCAGATTGGTTGTAACAAATGACATGTTCTCTCTGATATGTGGAAATCAGATTTAAAATACAGTGGGATATGATAAATTATACAGGATTCTTAAAACTCTCACACAGTGAGAATAATAGAGGATACTCTTTTTTTTTTTTTGCCAGTCCTGGGGCTTAAATTTGGGGCCTGGACACTGTCCCTGAGTTCCTTTTGCTCAAGGCTAGCACTCTATCTCTTGAGCCACAACACCACTGCCAGCTATTTTTCTGTTGATACAGTACTAAGGAATCAAACCCAGGGCTTCATGCATGCTAAGCAAGCTCTCTACCACTAAACTACATCCCCAGCCAAGAGGATACTCTTAAGAGAGACACACAAAGGTACAATGCCTGTGTACCTCTTCATATTTCCATTAAAGATATGGAAACAAGAGACCTCTCTTTTTATGTTAATTTTTGTGATGATTCTGTCTTCTTTTCCTTATGTATGGTGTATTCAAGTGTGTATCTTCAGGAGGGTTGGGGGAAGGGTACAGAACTCCAGGGGAGGGGCTGGGAAGGTGGCTCAGTGGTAGAGTGCTT